AAACCTAATATGCTTAAATACATGAAAGTAGCATTTACTGCATGGCTGTTGCATTGGATTGAATTAAATGTACATTAGCTAAGTGAACCTTACAAACTGGCATGAGATCAGTGTACTCACAAGTGCATTTGCCTGCAACCCCCATGTGGATTCAGGTGGGGACAGAATGTCTTATAAACCTTACGTTGGATCTTTTGGATTCAGTTTAACTGTACTAAACATATTATCTCCAACCCCTGAACACATTCTGTAAAACTGTAGTTAAAAAACCAGACTGACTGATGTCTTAATGCCATTAAAAACAACTATAGCGAGGAGAACTGAGTTAATCAGCTATTGTGCGATATGTCCTGTCTGATGGCTGTCTGCCACAGGTTTGTCCCTGTGTGTGCTGGGTCACAGGTACTCATAGATCAGTTGATCGATGGCGACAACTTTTACAAGAGGAGTCAGAAATTCCACAACAAAATCAGACTGATCAATTTAGTCTGTGCTGAAGCTAAGATAAGAAAGAATGAACAAACTGAAAATCTAAACAGATCAATTATGCCCGAGATGTATTTCCCATGATTCTAGTCATTTTTATGTATCCCTCCACCTTAAACAAGACATCAGTCAAGTAAATGGAGAGGGTATGTCTGTATTCAACTGGTAGGAACTTCACATCATACAGCTGAAAGTAGGTTAAGCAAATTTCAAGAGCCTGGAGAGTCAAAAGAGGGCACAGCACAACAAATAAAGACACCATTATCCTCTGCGTTGTGCTCGCAACAACTGCAAAACATCACAACGCACTGTAAGCAAGACGGGGGTTTCACACTGCCACCTGCCACAACCAGCGACTTACTGCCCTTTACAGATGTCAGAAACACGGGGAGGCTGTGATCGTGGGTGGCAGGAAATCAGGTTGAGACATCACACCCCAAAGCCAAGCCACAACAGAAGCCTGTCAGATCACAAAAGACACATCTCTCTGCCACTAGCAGGCAGGGGATGTCAACCTAATCCTCTGTCTCACACTACTGCCACCATGCTGTAAATAAAACAGGAGGTGACATAACCACAGTGACTTCACTCCACCTAAAGTAGGGTAGAGTAGTGCTGGTGGATCACTGTGTAAACTCAAAGATAAAGGTGTATTCTGGGGCAATGACAGTGCAAACCTAGACATTAAAGCCTGAACTACACACTGCATTTTTATAGCTGTGGAGCTAAAATGTGAGGGGAGGATTATTGTACTGTAATGTCAATTTCAACGATTTTATCTGCCTAAGATGGTTTAAAACAAACCCCTAATGCAAAGCAATGGCATGCACAGTCCATAAACAAGCAGGCTACTTTCTCACAGCTAATTTATACATGCTGTCATGCTGGGAGCTCACCGGCCCAGGCACTGACAGGCCTGTCAAGGTGCACAGCAGCACCTCCTTAAAAGCTAACCTACTGTCATGTGAAAACGGAAATGAAGTGCAATTCCCACAAACAGGGCCTTGTGCAGGCTAATATCGGCCCCATTATGGAGCTACAGGTCGTCACCCCAAAAAATGGGTGAAGCTTTACTGCTCTGCGACGTCGCATTCACTGACTTGTGCACTTGCTAGCCACAGAGGCTACCCTCCGGTTAGCTGGCTGGCACAGTAACTAAGCTAATGCACCTTGCTAGCCAGCAACGGCAACTGAACAAAGCCGGTAACCGGTGAGGAAAGCCTGATAGCCTGCCGGTGATGGCGCTTTCATACACCGAATAATGTCACCTCATTTATCTTTAAGTGTACCCACTATGCTCAAATGACAGTTGTATTCAATTACAACCGTAGCTGGAATCAGTGTTGTAGCTCCCGAAAATCTAACTGACATTTCCGTTAGCTTTGGCAACCGGCTTGATAAGCTAACGTTAGCATAGTTAGCTAGCTAATTGTCCCCTCCCCTCCCAGCTCCCTCCAAACGAAACCATCATCCCCGCATCAAACCCCTGCTACATACCGCTAATAAAACAACAATGTGTGCTGCTGTCACAATGGGGGGGTGAAATGCATAACATCACAAGCAAATTCCACGTTACCCAAGTCAAAGGATACTGAGGTGGCGGCACCGCGCCGGGCTGAGGAGCTGTTGGAGCTCCCGGCGGCAGAGACACGGAGGTCAGGGTAGCCCGCAGTTGGCTCGACGGAGAGGGGCCACTTCCAGGTCCGCTAACTGCGACAGCGGCGGGTTTGGGGACCACTTTCGGTGGCAAACTCATTGCAAAAAAATCAACAAATAAAAACAATACCTTAATAAATACTGATACAAACAACGCCTAGCTTGCATGCATTGAGCAAGCGTAGCAGATTCTTGAAGCAGGCCCCAAATCCCTTTAACGAACCGGGATAACGAAGCTCGAATAGCAACACAAACGTCTTTTTTTCATGGAAAGTCGCTGTTCGGATCAGCGGTGCTATTCATGGGGACGGTGGGAGGTTTAGCCTCCCTCGCCCGTCCGGAACCTCTGCGGATCCGGCTCGGTTTCGTTTCTTTCAATACAAATAATCGCCGCGATCTTCAACCTCCCTCGGCGATCTACCTTTTCTTCTCGACACGTATGTTTTCTATCATTTTTTTCTCACAGAGATGAGAGACTTCGCCAACATGGCGTTGCGGCCGCTTCCAGCAGTCCGGGCAGGACAGATGATTCGGCAATTCTCGGCCAGTTACGGATTCGCTCGGCTAATCAACTAACCTACAATCAGATACAGATACTGTGCGAGGTTCACGTGTCCACAGTGTGTCTGAAATACTGAATTTTGTCTCTTTTCTTTTTTTAAATTTGTCATTTTAAAATCCTAAATTAAGTTAACGACATTAAAACTTAAAACTTAACATTTCATTGACAATTGCTTTAACATGACAAGCAAAATAATTAAAAAATAAAATATTTTCGTGTTTGATTTTTTTCCCCAATAATTTGTGTGCATGCATGGCCAAAAATATTTCACATCCAGTATTCAGATATTTCCACATTATAGCTCATGGCCTGTACTCTGCACCAGCAGCAGCACTCTAACATGGATTCATGTGTTATTAGCGCCATCTATCGTCCACGTGGCTGCCTCGCATCTGCGAGCCTGCAAGACAGTTTCTGTGAGTCACTGTGATTTCACAGTGATTGGTTAATTAATGTAATCTGAGGCAGAGAGTACTGTATGAATGTAGTCACGCATTTCTGTACAACTAAAAGGCAGGGATGGATTACTGAAAGGACGTAGGCACAGGCCCAGGGGCCAAAAGTGTCAGGGGGGCCCTGGACCTGCACCTGCAAAATGTCTCTTAAATCGACATGTACCAACCAGGGAGAGACTCAAAATGACCACAAAGAGGCGCAAAAGATCATAAAGATGCACAAAGGAATTGGAAAGAGACACAAAATAACTACAAAAATAGGCAAAACAACCGCATTGGGACATAAACGTCTGTGGGGCCACTGTGGCTCAGACGTTCAGGGGGTCCTCCACTAATCGGAAGATCAGCAATTCCAACCCCGACTCCTCCAGTCTGCATTTTGAAGTATCCTTGGGCAAGATATTGAACCCTATGTTGCTCCCAATGGCTGTTCCATCAGTGTGAGTGTGTGTGAATGGTTACTGTGTAGCAGGCAGCCCCTTGTCTGGTAGCCTCGGCCACCTGTGTGTGATAGTGCATGTGAATGGGTGCATGTGACGTAGTGTAAAAGCGCTTTGAGTGGTCAGTCAATGAGAAAGGTACTCTACAAGTGCAGTTAATTTACATAAAATGACCACAAAGACACAAAAAGACTATTAAGGGACACAAAATGACAACTAAGACACAAAACAACCACAAAAGGACACTAAATGACTATGGAGACACAAAACAACCACAAAAGGACACTAAATGACTACAAAGACACACAAAACAACCACAAAGGGACACTAAATGACTATGGAGACACAAAATGACTACAAAGAGACTCAGATCAACTACAAGGGACACAAAATGACAACAGAGAGACACAAAACAACTATGAAGGGACTCAAAATGACTATAGAGACACAAATCAACCACAAGGACACACAAAACAACCACAAAGGGATACGAAATGAATACAGAGACACAAAATAACCACGATGAGACACAAAATGACTACAAAGAGACACAAAACAACCACAAAGGGACTCAAAATGACTACAAAGAGACACAAATCAACCACAAGGACACACAAAACAACCACAAAGGGATACGAAATGAATACAGAGACACAAAATAACCACAAAGGGACACAAAATGACGACAAATAGACACAAAACAACTATGAAGGGACTCAAAATGACAACAGAGACACAAAACTACGAAGGGACTCAAAATGTCAACAGAGAGACACAAAACAACTATGAAGGGACTCAAAATGACAACAGAGAGACACAAAACAACTACGAAGGGACTCAAAATGACTACAAAGAGACACAAAATAACTATGAAGGGACTCAAAATGACAACAGAGACACACAAAACCACAAAATGAATACAGAGACACAAAACAACCTCAAAACGACAAAATGACCACAGAGACAAAAAACCACAAAGGGATACAAAATGACTACAAATAGACACAAAACAATCACAAAGGGACACAAAATGACCAGACACATGAAGCAACCACAAAGGGACACTAAGGGACTACAAAGAGACAAAACAACTACAAAGGGACACAAAACGACCAAAAAAAAAACCCCAAATAACCTGAGAGCAACAAAAAATTATCTCAGAGACCCAAAAATGACAACACAAAGGCATAAAACCACAAGGAGACACAAAATTACTACAAAGTCTTTGTGTTTTGCTCCTATGTAGAAGACATTGTTGGGGCCTTTGCATAACTGTGCCCAGGGGCCCACTTACTCATAATCCGCCCATTTTAAAAGGTGTGTGTGTGTGTGTGTGTGTGAGTGAGAGAGAGAGAGGGAGAGGGAGGGAGCCACTAAACAAACTGTACACATGAGACAAACGTGTTTTACGATTGGTTTTACTATACAAAATAATTTGTGACAAACTCTCATAAAAACAGTTTATGGCACATCATAGCTCAGTCTCATGACAAAGGTCTGAATGAAAAAATAGTCGATTCATTTCAATTTATTGCCGTAAATTTCTCTGTTCCTTCATTCTGTTTCTAATTTGCGTTGGTCTTCCATCACAGATATGAAGTGCCAAATATCAAGTCTATATCTCTATAAATGTAACAGTTTGTGGGGTTTGACAAACTGTTGCTGTTGTATTAAAATATATTTCAAAAACAAATTCTTAATAAAACTGTCCATATGGGTCGCATTTTAATTTTCCATCTTACATCTTGCAGGTCCCTGGTTCACTGTCATATAAAAATCTGTGACCATAAATAAACTAGAATAAAAGTAAACTGGAGCAGATCGTGAGCACAGTGAAGAGGGTCAGAAAAAAAGAAACAGCACTTTGCTTGTTCATCACTATACGTGATAAACAGTTCACAAAGTCTGAGAGTGGTTCCCCCATTGTCCGTAGTAACCATCTGTCGGGTTTCCAGTGTTCGAAAAGCGCATTTATAGCAACATTTTACTTCAGAAGTCAGGGAAAGCTGTTTGCTACACCAGCAGTTCTTGTGGAGAAGCTCTGCAGATAGCGATCCTCCACACGGAGCAGGCACATTCTGTCCTGATGAGGAGCCCGATAAGCGTTAAGTGGCAAGGCAGTTGGATTCTCAGTGGTTCTTGCGTTCCCCGTCCATAGAGACTTTGTCAATCTTCTCTCCCAAATGTCCATTTTACTCCTGGCTGATAAGCAGCGCAGAGCAACGACGCATCACCAGAGCTCACACTTGTGTTTAGGGTTCATGGGAGCATCTGCTTTGCAGCCAAAGTGCTTTGAGAATTCCTGTGAATTGGAGATGGTGCCGATGACTCTGAATCTTGACGGACTGTGAGGGTCTGTGATGACGCCCTCGTGTGAGCTTTCAGGTGTCCTGACAGAGCACCATACCTGCGGGAATAATGAAGAAAGAGACGCAACATGAGGGATTAATTCTGTGTGGGCCTTTAAAATTATTAGTTGATTTCAATAAAGAATTGAATAAAGAGATTTCAGAGACTGGCATGAACTGATTATATTGCTCATTATGATTTTTCATCAGCAATCATTTCTTGTCATTACAGCTCTTTGAGTGTTTCTTTTAAGGTTATTAATTAAAAATCTCTGTTTCTTTGACTGTTTTAGCTTCACTGCAGAACGACGGCACGATAAGCATTGTCGCCTCACAGCAAGAGAGTTCCTAATTCGAACCCTGAGCTTCTGTGTGAAGTTTGGGTTTTCTCCGGGTACTCCAGCTTCCTCCCACAGTCCAATCACATGCAGGTTAATTGCTGACTCTAAATTGTCCGTAGGTGTGAATGTGAGTGTGAATGGTTGTCTGTTCCTACGTGCAAGCCCTGTGATAGTCTGGTGACCTGTCCAGGGTGAACCCTGCCTCTCACCCAATGTCAGCTGGGATAGGCTCCAGCCCCCCCGCGACCCCTAAGTGGTTACGGAATGAATGAATGAATGAATGAGCAGAACGATGTTTGTGCAGAGTTTGACACCACAACCCCTATTCCGTAAAAGTTGTGACACTGTGTAAAACATAAATAAAAACAGAATGCAATGATTCACAGGTCCTTTCTGACCTATATTCAATTTACACTTTAAAGACAATATATTTAATGTTCAAACTTTATCATTATTTGTTAAGATATACTCAAGACAAGACACTCATGGACTTTTATCTTACATATTTTTTAACTTCTCTTAACCAATATTCATTAAAATACAGAGGACTATCACTTTGGAACAACCTTCTTCCATCTCTACAGTCATCATCTACATTACTGTTATTCAAAAAACATCTGAAAAGGACTCCAATTTGCAAAGTCTCTAAACACTTCATTGATTTATTTGTAATTTGTGTTGGTTTTTTTTGTTGTAAATTGTACATCTTAAATAATTTTGTAGTAATTCTTAGTCTGGATCTCTTATTCAATTTTCCCTGTATTGTCTATATGCAGTCAGGTCCATAATTATTTGGACAATGAGACAGTTGTCGTCATCTTGGCTCTGTACACCACCACAATGGGTTTTAAATGAAACAATGAATACGTGCTTAAAGTGCAGACTTTCAGCTTTCATTTAAGGCTTTTTTCAAAAATGTAGTATGAACCGTGTAGGAATTACAACCATTTCTTCACACAGTCCCCCAACGTTAAGGGCTCATAAGTATTTGGACAAACTAACATAATCATCAATTAAACAGTCAGTTTTAATACTTGGTTGCAAATCCTTTACAGTCAATGACTGCCTGAAGTGACTGCTTGTGTTTTGGGTGTTTTGCCCTCAGTTTTGGCTTCAGCAAGAGAAACGCATGCTCAATTGGATTCAGGTCAGATAATATGACTTGGCCATTGCAGAACATTCCACTTCTTTGCCTTAAAAATGTCTTTGGTTGCTTTTGCAGTATGCTTCAGGTCATTGTCCAACTGCACTGTGAAGCATCGTCCAATGAGTTTTGAAGCATTTGGTTGAATCTGAGCAGATAATGGTGCCCCAAACACTTCAGCTTTCATCCTGCTGCTCTTGTCAGCAGTCACATCATCAATAAATACAAGAGAACCAGTTCCACTGGCAGCCATACATGGCCATGACATAACAGTACCTCCACCATGCTTCACTGATGAGGTGGTGTGCTTTGGATCATGAGCAGTTCCTTCCCTTCTTCCTTCTCTTGTCTTCCCATCATTCTGGTAGTTGATCTTTGTTTTATCTGTCCATAGTATGCTGTTCCACAACTGTACAGGCTTTTTAGATGGTTTTTGACAAACTCTAATCTGGCCTTCCATTTTTAAGGCTAACCAATGGTTTGCATCTTGTGATAAACCCTCTGTATTTATTCTAGTGAAGTCTTGTCTTGCTTACAAGAGCAGCAGGATGAAAGCTGAAGTGTTTGGGGCACCATTATCTGCTCAGATTCAACCAAATGCTTCAAAACTCATTGGACGATGCTTCACAGTGCAGATGGACATTGACCTGAAGCATACTGCAAAAGCAACCAAAGACATTTTTAAGGCAAAGAAGTGGAATGTTCTGCAATGGCCAAGTCATATCATCTGACCTGAATCCAACTGAGCATGCGTTTCTCTTGCTGAAGCCAAAACTGAGGGCAAAACACCCAAAACACAAGCAGGAAGTGCAGACGGCTGCAGTAAAGGGCTGGCAGAGCATCACCAGGGAAGAAACCCAGCATCTGATGATGCCTATGTGTCCAACACTTCAGGCAGTCATTGACTGTAAAGGATTTGCAACCAAGTATTAAAACTGACTGTTTAATTGATGATTATGTTAGTTTGTCCAAATACTTATGAGCCCTTAAAGTCGGGGGACTGTGTGAAGAAATGGTTGTAATTCCTACACGGTTCATACTACATTTTTGAAAAAAGCCTTAAATGAAAGCTGAGAGTCTGCACTTTAAGCAGGTATTCATTGTTTCATTTAAAACCCATTGTGGTGGTGTACAGAGCCAAAATGATGACAACTGTCTCATTGTCCAAATAATTATGGACCTGACTGTATGTATGTGCAAATAAACTAAACTAATTTGAATTTGATGCCTGCAGCACATTGCAAAAAAGTTGAGACAGGGGAGTGTTTACCTCTGTGTTACATCACTTTTTCCTTTAACAACACTCAGTAAGCATTTGGTAACTGAGGACACTAATTGTTAAAGTTTTGAAGGTGAAATATCTCAAGATTCACAAGTGGGCCTCACAAAATCTTCGAGATTTAACTCAACCAAAGTGCTGTGCAGAAGGAATAAGACGCTAAAAACACAGACATTAGAGGTAACATAACTGTGAGGTGCACAGTTCATACATTCAGACACAGCACACACAGGCATGTATCAGAGAAGGCCACATCAGGGGGACTCAACCGCTAACAAATAAAAGTAGGTAGTAGAAGATTTAAAGAATGTCTGTGTGAAGGACTGGACCAAAATCTCATCTGAACACTGTGAGACACTTGTTTCTTCACACAGGAAGCATTTTGAAGTTGGCATTGTAAACAAAGGCTTCATCAAGTACTTAATACATCTCAGTTAGTGCATTTAATTCCTTTTTTCTTGTGTCATTTCATTTTATTGCACGTTATCTTTAAGGATTTAAATGTTATAGAAGTTGTAGATAAGACTCTCGCACACTGTCTAATTTGCAAAAATAATGATTTTAATGCTGCAACGTTTCAGTGACCAGACCTTCATCAGGCAAACAGTCTAGCAACCGAAACGTTGCAGCATTAAAATCATTATTTTTTTAAGTTTAACAGTCTGCAGGAGTCTTTTCTACAAGTTTTATTCCTCTCGTCCCTCTCCTACGCACCTGTTTGAAAGTAGTTGTGCAAAGTATTCCTTCACTTTAAGGATTGAAATGTTACGATTTCTTCATCAGTGTAATTTGACTGAGTTAAAACCAATGGCTCGAGAAAAAAAAAAAAAGATGTGTTTAATACTTATTTCCGTCACTGTATGTCAAAAAAAACGTATGTCATTGCTGTTCTTATGTACATGTTACACAGCGTCCCAACTTTTCTAGCAATCTGGGTTGTGGAAAGATGTTCCTGCATTCATCTTCTTTCTGGTTTCTCTGTGCTCACCTTGACTCTGAGTCTGACACGTGTACGTCTGAGCAGGATTTTCAACTAGTCTGGAACCAATCACAGTCCGGTATGCAACTTATACAACTGTGATGTGGAAACTTGAAGCCTCCAGGGCACAAACACTGAGAGCTGACTCCTCAATGAAGCAGGAGGCATCTTGTGCCCAGCAGTTGAACTTGGGAAATGAACAATATTTGCATATTCATAGATTATGGATTTTTTTCAAAGAGGGCAAGGGCGCAGACGTGTAAAAATCCATATGAGGGTATTTTCATGTGGAGGCTTTAAGAAATACAGTGAGAAGTAGGTGGACAGGATCATGGAGTCAGAGGAGGTAATGTGAGGGATACAAACCTGGGCAAACCCGACAAAAAACAGCTGATGGTTTGTCAATCCCAGTGCAGGCAGCGTGGCCTCGTTGCCGTTCTTTTCAATCCAGTTCACGTAAGCCTTCAAAGCAACAAACGATCATGTTACACACATGCATTTATAGATCTGCTCATGTAAAAGTGTATAATCACACAGACAGAGGAAAAAAAAGAAGATCCACAGTGTTATTTCCCTCTGGTTCACGTACCACAAGCTGCTTTTACCTCCGTATGATTTGCTCCTCTGCTTCAGAGCTTGTGACCTTTCATTACATGGAAAGAATGTGTGCATGTGAAGAAGTAACCAGAGGCTGACAAGGCCACTCATAACCACCTGTTGCATTTCCAGGCTTCGCTGTAAACCACACAACCTGCTTTTTCCAATACAGATGAATGGATGTGACCCGCAGTGGCCTCGGAGAATAAGCTAATGCCGGGGATTAATGTCAGATCTGCGTGATCGTTTTCCGACCTTCTGAACGTGCTATCTGACATCGTTGCCATAGGAAACATAACAGCAGCAGCCTGAACTTCCTCTCTCTCTCTCACAGCAGCGTTTAATCGTTCGTCTACATCAGTGACAGAAAGTCATTTTGTGCCCATGATTTAATCACATAAAGAAAACATCCACTCATGCTTTCTATCTGACATCAGACCTTGTAGGCGGCCTTGAGTCCACCGTTGTCAGCGATGTTTTCTCCCAGGGTGTGTCGTCCATTCAGAGGCTCCTTGTTGATGCTGTAATTTCCATACTGCTCCACCATGCACTGCGTCTGCTTCTTGAACGCCTCCACAGAAGAGTTCTTCCACCAGGGACGCAGATTTCCATCCTTGTCGTATTCTCTTCCTTTGAATAAAAGGGTGAAATATTCAACAAATCTTTTAGTATCACGAGAATGATGAGATTTAGCATCTTTGTTTAAAATGGAAAACTTTTCTACCAACCTTGGTCGTCAAAAGCATGAGTCAGTTCGTGTCCCATGACGACTCCGATCCCACCGAAGTTAAGAGCTCTGAAAAGAATTCAAGTCACACATTTTAAAAATGTACATGAAGCACAACTTTATAACCCTTGACAACAACTTTTCAATATTTGTGTGCATGATGTGTTTTTCCATTGACGCTCTTGGCCGCGCAGAGTAAAGCCATGCTGCGACGATTTTTGTTTCCATTGTCAGGTTAGACATGCTGAGCCACACCAAGACATGCTAGAGATGGACCTTCTCTGAAGTGGGTCTAAAAATTTAAAAGCCCGTCCTAAAGCAGGTAGCGGTGACGTCAAATGAGCGATGTCACGTTTCTGCGCTGAGTTTTGGTGATGTTTCTGCTGCAAATGCCAGCAGATACTTTGTCGATTTCTACTGTTTAAAGAAGAGAAAAAAATGCAATGGCAAGCACCTGGTCCGCTTCAGAAACGCAAGCCCTGTTCGCTCTGTAGACTGAGAAGACCCCTCAAAAGGGCCTGGCTGGCGCAACCAGAAATGAGAGGGCCTATCAATCTGTTGCCTGCAAGCTGTAGGAGGTGGAAATCCAGGGTTCCTACGTGAAGTGCCGCGAGAAAATTTAAAAGGGAATAATTGACCACAATTACACCAGCGGGCGGACACAAAGACTGAAAGGTGGTTTGACTTGTAGGTGTTGCAAGGAGCCTAAAAGTCCTACACTGAATATGTGGATGGTTCAAATGATGGAAACTACTGCATGGGAAAAGATGCTGGGAAGATTCAGTTGGAAAAATGATATGGTTAATGAACAATGGCACAGCTTCAGTGGATATATGTCTGGAGGGAGAAATCTGATCGTGTAATAGCACACTTGTAAGAGACACGTTGCACTAAAGACTGGCTCACTACCATGACTGAATAGCTGCCTATCCTGTATTAATGTCTGTCTATGTTCGCTAGACTTCCTGCCTGTTTGTTTGTTTGTTTTTGACTGTCATGGTATTTTATGCAATAATATAATAAAATCATATTTTAATTACAAAAAACAAACTTTTTACCGTACTTGCTGATACTGTCACTGTGTCCACACAGTAGTTCATGTGACAGATAATCTGTGGAATAAATCATGCACCTCTGTACTGCAGACATGTCCAAAGTCTGGCTGAGGGGCCAATTGTGGCCCACAGACCAATTTTAAACTGCATGTGGATTGTTTCTCATTTATACAGGATATTTTTTAGTAACTTAAATGGTGCGAGAAGCAGCTGGCCCACATTCAAAAAGGTTCGGACACCCCTGCTGTAGAGCTTCCAATGACATTTGCAAGAATCTACTGCACATGAATGAAAACAACCAATCAGAGCCGAGGAGTCTCTAAAGCCCTTTTTCCACCGAGCAGTACGGTTCGGTACGCTTTTTTTCTGTTTCCACTGTGAAAAATTGTGGATGGTACCAATGGAACCATTCCTACAGTCCCCATTTTTAGTCCCCCCTCTGTTGGGGTACCTAGCACACAGATCTGGTACTAAAAGGTGGAGCTGTGAACACTGCAGTCTGTTGATTGGTCAATAGAGGACGGTCACTCTGCTCAGGGCTGAGTTGTGGCTGGTTTTGAGGCTCATGTAACCACTGTTAATACCATGGAGAGTCTAATTATTAAACTGTGACTATAAAATGAGAGGATGTTTTGCTGCCTCTGCCTCAAATGTTTCCAGAAACTGAAAATAAGAAAGTTTGTGAACCGGCCACCATGTTGCAAACAGTGGATCGAAAACCAAGAGCCAGCTGAAGCAAACTTTCTCATTTTACAGCTAAACAGTACACTAAAATATGTTTCTGTAAACATCTGAGGTGAGAAATATGCAATGCAGTTACAGAATCTTGATTCATATTTGATCAGCGCTGCCTAGTTTGACACTTTGATCCCAATTCTCGAGCAGATTGACAGCTGCGTTAGAGACTCCTCTGCTGTTGTTTTCCTTCAGTGGCCACAGATTCTTGCAAATGCCATTAGAAGCACTACGAGAAGGAGGAACACAACTTTTTCACATATTATCTGTCTTATTATCAGTTTCAAAAAATATTACAAAAAGTTACTGTCATAAAAGTTACCAACTGTTTCTTTAGAAGCAACAGTTTGCAAGGGAAAAAAATGGGAAAAACTCTTCTTCACTTTTTCGGCAAGATTTAGATGAGATTGATACCACTCTCATGCCTGTCTGTGCTAAACTAAGCTAACTGGCTTCTGGCTCCTGCTTCAGACTGAACAAAGACTGGAAACAGATGGCAGCAACTAGCCTGGCTCTGTCCAAAGGTAACAAAATCCACCTGCCTACCAGCACATTTAAATTTCACTATCTTGTTTGTTTAATCTAAATAAAACAAAGTGTAAGTGACAATTTGTGGTCTTACTGGAGGTTATGTGCTTTCTTGTTATGTGTGAGTTCCCACATCTCAGATATGTTCAGCAATTCAAATCGAATCAAATCAAATTGAATATTCAAATAAAAATAAAAGCTAATGAAGTGAGACAAAATGGCAATTCAGTCTGATTATCAGGTTAAATCTGCAGCACACCGCGGGGCTCTCACGTGTAGTTAAAAAACAGCTGTTCAATTTCTTCATCTGGTGCTGCTTGGCTGTGTTTTTTTATTACCAGTGCTGTTTTATACTTCACTGGTGTTTTTATCTTTGCGCTGCTTTGATGGTTTTGTGAACTAAAGACAATTTTCCACTCTGGTTGACAATAAACCTTTTTTATATTTTAATAAAATCCAGATTCGTCGTGCAGGAGACCTACTTAGGCCACGAGCGGCTGTAAAACGGAGCCTGGAGAATTCCTGCAGGCAGCACCATCTCGTTCTTGGTCGGGTTGTAGTATGCATTCACGGTCGGAGGGGTCATGCTCCACCTGAAAAAACAAGGAACACAGGACCACCATAAAAGGCTGACATCAAGGGTCACAGCAGATTCAGAGTATCTATAGCGCCTGCTTGGTCGTGCCAGGCTGACTGCAGATGGGTTTGAAAAGCATGGGAACCCTCATCTGCCCCCTCCTCCCCCCTCTCGTCTAATTAGAGACAAGGATCAGTTCAGCGGGGAGAAGTTGGTTGCCTGGGAACATTTGTGGATGGCAGCCGTATTCTGCTGAGTCAGTATGATGGGAATGTGTCCTCGTCGGAGAGTGTAGCCTCCTCTCTGGCAGGCGGGGCAGTGGAAGGGAAGAGGGAGCAACTCACTGGTTTCTGTTGGGAGTTTTCCTTAGCTGGTCGGCAGTCACTCTAGCTGAGAAGTTGTAGTACTGCATGACATTTTGGAAGTAGAGCTCCGACACCACCTCGAACTAAAAGAGAAGAATCACAAGTGATGAGTTTTGTGTTGTGGGGAGACATTTCTGTGACACATAAAAGTGACAGGATGGTCAGGACATGTGACGCAGCTCCACATTTACCTACATCATTGAACACTTTGTCCAGCTTTGTGGCGTTCATGATGAACTCTGGGTATCCAACCATGTTGTATATTGCATCCGCCTGTCACCAAATAAAAAAAAAGACTGTGAAAGACGCATTTTCACACCAGGTGGCAGTGCTGTATTTCTCAGCACACAAAACAGAGCTCATTCAGATGTTAATGTCTCTCTAAAGCTTCAGTAGGAAACTTCCTGGGAAAGAAACACACATCTTCCTCCTACCTTTTCTTTTGCTGCTTTTTTTGTCTCCCAGTCCATCCACCTCACATACTTCAGGCTGTCCTCAAACGCCCGTTTAATCTCTGCAACCATATCCTCAGCCTGGAGCACAGAAGACACAGAGGAAAGTCATAAAAGCACATCATCTCGCACAGCAGGAGCGGCAGTTTGTGAAGGAAAGGACTTTCAGAGGGCTTACAATGGCCTTGCTGTCCTCGGCAAAGGTGGCTTTGACAAACATGGCTCCCAGAGCGAAGCCCAGGGCGCTGTCTGTGTCGCTGACGCACACCTTCCAGCGTGGAGTGCAGCTCTGCAACACCAGATCAACACATCAAGACATGTTGGTAAAATGCATCATCACTGTTAGATAACATCCGACTATCTGGAATGTGATTTCTCTGTCAGTGTGCCATATTTCGTTCAGCCTGTTTCGTCACTTCTTGTATTTCCCAGAATAAACGTGACAAATCTCCCAGGACGTGGGTAGACTTGTACCATTCAGCCCTGGGCAACGTGTGTAGGTGGAGAAAATTGTGGTGATGGCGAAACAGTAGCAGAGTGAAAGTCAGACCGTGAAAGTGCTTCTGTGAAGACAATGCAGTCTAGTAACAGACTGCTGTTTCTCCTGCAAAGCAGTGTGACAGTTTGGCCAATCCGTTCCAACTTCTCACCTAATGCGTGCTGGGATAGAGGCCTCCTACCACTCTGAACAGGATAAACATGAATGTAAGATCGATGTTTTTCTCCCTATATGTGAAGAAGGGGCCTACATTTTCTATTGGCTGTGGAGCTGCAACATAAATGTCTTTACAAGTCCAAAATTACGACCCACAACCCTAACCGACCCGAGCATTAGTTAAATATATGTATGCTCTACTGTTCTTGTACAAGATATTACAGACCCGATCCAGAGAGTGTCCGAGAGGAGAGGGACCCGAGACGTGGGACAGGTAACCTACCTGACAAACCTGCTACTTAAAACTGCCACTAAAAACGCCACTCTACTGCAAAGAACATTTATCATGTCAGATACAACAGACTGTTCTCACACATCTTAATGTACATAATGTTTAATAATGTTTGAGAAGTCTATTTTTATTTTATTCTATTGTCACCTATTTTGCTGTTGTGATGTGAGCTGCTTTAATGATTTGATTTCCCCAGCTTACTATCCATCTTTCCCCAGCTTAGCCTCCAACTCCCTGGTGCTGCAGCTCAACATGCTTTCACCTTACTTCTGCGTTTGTGATCTGACCATATGTCAGCACAGTCAGTCATCACACAAGTTACACACTCAGCACTTTTGTGTGTGTTGGATCTCGGATCCCAGATACCAGTTAGACTAATGAAGACTTCTACCGCAACAAATAATGATTGATTAACTGATGAGTTGTCAGCTATTAAATTCATTGGCAACCAACGTGATAATTGATAAGTCAGTTTGAGTAGTTTTTGAAGGGAAAAAAGTCATAATTGTCTGATTCCAGCTTCTTCAATCTGAATATTTTCTGGTTTCTTTACTCCTACTTTAACAGTAAACTGAATATCTTTAGGTTTTGGTCGAAACAAGACATTTGAGAACGTCGTTTTAGGCTTTGGGGAACAGTGATCAACATTTGTCACCATTTTCTAACATTTTATGACCGAACAAATAATCGATTAATCGAGGAAAAAAGACCGATTAAAGGTCTAGTGTGTAGGATTTTGGGGGGGGGGGGGGTATAGGCAGAAATGGAATATGATATAATAAGTATGTTTTCTTTAGTGTGTAATCACCTGAAAATAAGAGTTGTCATGTTTTTGTAACCTTAGAATGAGCTGTTTATGTCTACATTGGGAACAGGTCCTCATCCACGGAGATCTCAATGTTGCATCGCCATGTTTCTACAGTAACCCAGAATGGACAAAACAAACGCTGGCTCTCGATAGGGCCATTCACCAACACTGATTTATTCAGTGTTTTAACCGGTTTTAATCACCAGGTCCATCTGTTTTGAAGAGAGATCTCAGCGGTAAAAACCTCCTGAACAATAAACACTAAAGGAATTCTAACCAGGAGAAGTACAGCTAGATGCCAATAAAACCCCCTAAATCTGACACACTGGACTTTAAATTGACAATGAAAATAATTATTAGTTGCAGCCCTAATTGGTTGTATTCCTACCAGCGGAAGAAATAAAAAGACGTCAATGCTAAAATTAATCAGCATAGTTTTGATGCTTTTTGGATATGTACAGAACACAAAACACAAACTATAGCTGCCACTGTTAAAAAAATCTTGAATATTTCTTATTCTTTTCTAAAATAGACAGAAAATCCACACAAATGAGGGAAAGGGTTATGATCATGAGAAATGTGTGACCTCTGTGCTCAGTGTTCTTGAGGCAGAGCTGAGCTGTTATCTCTCTGTGGGCTGAGACACAGTGTTCTCTCTAAAGGACAAAGTGGCTTTTTTGTTTGGACAAAACACCCAGGACACCACACATGGTATTTACAGTCAAAGCTGAAGCAATGCAAGCGAAATGCAAAATATCCTGTTTTTGCCCTCATTCAGAAAAATACAATATTCCTGCTGATCTGTTTACATGACTAATGAAAAGGAATATTCCACTAATACCACTGTTTACATGCAGCTGTGCAAACTCACATTAACATTGACATTGTTTATCACTTCAAGATATTGAAAAGTTGGAGTCGTTTTTGCGATTTTGCTTCTTTGCTTGTTTTCCACCAGTGGCCATGTATCTCTACTCCACAGCCTTGCGACCTGTTGGCTTGTGAACAACCAATGCAAGAGGCCGAGTGTCGCAATAAAAACCCTAGACGCATATTCTGAATGTGCTGTATACATGTCCAAACACTATTAAAACCCAACTAATAGGTAGGTAAGGAGGTAGACAAGTAGGTAGGTAGGTAGGCAAGTAGGTAGGTAGGTACATAGGGAGGTAGATAGGTAGATGGGTAGGTAGATAGGTACTGTAGGTAGGTAGATAGATAGGTAGGTACATAGGGAGGTAAATTGGTAGGTAGGTAGGTAGGTAGGTAGGTACATAGGTAGGTAGGTAGGTAGGTAGGTACATAGGTAGGTAGGTAGGTAGGTAGGTACATAGGCAGATAGATAGGTACATAGGCAGATAGGTAGGTAGATAGGTACACAGGTATGTATGTAGGTAGGTAGGTACATAGGGAGGGAGGGAGGTAGAGGGAGGTAGATGGATAGGTACATAGGTAGGTAGGTAGGTAAGGAGGTACATAAGTAGGTAGGTAGGTAGGTAGGTACATAGGGAGGTAGGTAGGTACATAGGGAGGTAGATAGGTAGGTAGGTACATAGGGAGGGAGGGAGGGAGGGAGGTAGGTAGATAGGTAGGTACATAGGGAGGTAAGAAGGTAGGTCAGTAGGTAGATAGGTACATAGGGAGGTAGGTAGGTAGGTAGGTAAGGAGGTAGGGAGGTACATAAGTAGGTAGATAGGTAGGTAGGTAGGTACATAGGGAGGTAGGTAGGTAGGTAGGTACATAGGGAGGGAGGGAGGGAGGTCAGTAGGTAGATAGGTACATAAGGAAGTAGGTAGGTAGGTACGTAAGTAGGTAGGTACATAGGGAGGGAGGGAGGGAGGGAGGTAGGTAGATAGGTACATAGGTAGGTAGATAGGTACATAGGGAGGGAGGGAAGGAGGTCGGGAGGGAGGGAGGGAGGGGAGTAGGTAGGTAGGTAGGTAGGTAGGTAGGTAGGTACATAGGGAGGTAGGTAGGTAGGTAAGGAGGTAGGGAGGTACATAAGTAGGTAGGTAGGTAGGTAGGTAGGTACATAGGTGGTAGGTAGATAGGTACACAGGTATGTGTATAGGGAGGTAGGTAGGTACATAGGGAGGTAGGTAGGTACATAGGTGGTAGGTAGATAGGTACACAGGTATGTGTATAGGGAGGTAGGTAGGTACATAGGGAGGTAGGTAGGTACATAGGTAGGTAGGTACATAGGTAGGTAGGTAGATACATACATAGGGAGGGAGGTAGGGAGGTAGGGAGGAAGGTAGATAGGTACACAGGTATGTGTATAGGGAGGTAGGTAGGTGCATAGGGAGGTAGGTAGGTACATAGGTAGGTAGGTACATAGGTAGGTAGGTAGATACATACATAGGGAGGGAGGTAGGGAGGTAGGGAGGAAGGTAGATAGGTACACAGGTATGTGTATAGGGAGGTAGGTAGGTGCATAGGGAGGGAGGTAGGTAGGTAGGTAGGTACATAGGGAGGTAGGTAGGTAGGTACATAGGGAGGGAGGTAGGTAGGTAGGTACATAGGGAGGTAGGTAGGTAGATAGGTACATAGGGAGGGAGGGAGGTACATAGGGAGGGAGGGAGGGAGGGAGGTAGGTAGGTAGGTAGATAGGTACACAGGTATGTGTATAGGGAGGTAGGTAGGTAGATAGGTACATAGGGAGGGAGGTAGGTACATAGGGAGGGAGGGAGGTACATAGGGAGGGAGGTAGGTAGGTAGGTTGATAGGTAGGTACATAGGGAGGTAAGTAGGTAGGTCAGTAGGCAGATAGGTACATAAGGAAGTAGGTAGGTAGGTAAGTAGGTAGGTAGGTACATAGGGAGGGAGGGAGGGAGGGAGGTAGGTAGGTACATAGGGAGGTAAATAGGTACGTCAGTAGGTAGATAGGTACAAAAGGAAGTAGGTAGGTAGGTAGGTACATACATAGGGAGGTAGTTACATAGGGAGGTAAGTAGGTAGGTCAGTAGGTAGATAGGTACATAAGGAAGTAGGTAGGTACATAGCGAGGGAGGTAGGTAGGTAAGTAGGCAGGTAAGTACATAGGAAGGTAAGTAGGTAGGTCAGTAGGTAGATAGGTACATAAGGAAGTAGGTAGGTAGGTAAGTAGGTATGTCGGTATGTCGGTATAGGTCGTTGGTTGGAGATGGATGGATGGATGGATAACTATTGCGCACAGCAGTGGAAACTTGAAAAGGTCTCACTTGGAATATCCAAACAGAATATTCTGTTTACATGAACTGTATCAAATTTAGAATATTGTCAGAATAATACTGGGATATTAGTGAGCATGTAAACACAGTCAATTTTTGAACCTACATAAACTTTAAAGCGACATACTCCAGTCGTGTGTACTGAACTTTGATTTACCTCGCAAACAGAAAAGTTTCCTTTAGTGACAGTAAATGTGCTTTTATGTGTTTAATTTTTATTTTGTAGTCACAATTTCAGGCATTACGCTGAAAATCTGGCATTTTGTTTATCCCTGTTTTTACTCATATTTACAAAACACAAACACACACAAACACACAAATGCACATATCTATTTCAACAACTGTGTCTCCATCTATCTTAAAACAATGATTTTACATCTAAACTTAATAAACACAATCTCACTCTAAACCAGCCACTTCGCTGACTGTCAAACATTCCTTATATGCCAAAGTTATTATCAGGTGAAAGGAAGGACAAGGACAAATGGGGATGCATGTAAACACAGATAAAGAGGACACAAGGTCGGACGGCGGAAATGAGGAGTGTTCTGAGCAAGCAAACAGCAAGTTGTAAACGCGTGCACGGAGGCACGGATGGAAAAAAAGAGACTCGGCCGCACTGTCACATAAAACAGATACTCAAAGAGACACACAGAAAGTTTTGGGTTTGTTGTTACAGCTTGACCCCAGTTGAAAAGAAGGCAGAGGGAACAGGATCCTGCTGAGATAAGGGCTGAGGCCACCGGAGCCTTCACAGTCAAACTGTTACTCACTGAGGAGAAAACAAACTGCTGCTAAGTTCATATAATGTAGATTTAGACAGGATACGTGTTTAAGTTTTAATATCTTTGACTACGTGTGCGATTAAAGTCTCAGTTCACCCAATTTCCGAAAACAATTTTCCAATTTATCTGCAGTGTAGTGGCATCAAGTAACACAGATTATTTTGGTTTAATTAACCTTGGATTTAGGATGAATTTTTGCTTTCGACCCCAAAGGATAAAACAATGTCCCAGTCGCTCTGGATAATCCACAAACATCAAACAGTTTTCAGTGGAACAGCTTCTTTGGTCGAAAGCGGTTCCAGTAAAAAACTAATCCAGAGCGAGGTCTGTGGATTATCTAGAGGAACCAGGTCCCTGGAAAGACACGTCACTGTCAAACGTTTTACATGGAAAATTTCAATCTTATTTGCAGCTGAACTTATCCTTTAGCCTCGCCACTAACCATCTGACTGTGTCCAGATATACATGAAAAACAAGTTAGTGAGAGAAATCACGTTACGGCAGGAAATCCTTGTAAATCCTCAACATGCATTCAGAATACATCTACCCAAAATAACAATTTTCAATCAAGACTGTGACACGTGCAATGATGCCATTTTAGTGTTTTCTGATTTGTATGTTTTGTTTGGAGTATTTTAAGCCCAGTTCAGACCACCGATTTACGAAGAGACGAGTTGAAACAGGCAGCTACTTGCAATGTGCCGTTCTGCAACGTTCTAAAAACCTGCCGGTTCACACCAATGCAACTAGATGAGATGGTGTATCATCTCGATGCTACAACTATCCATACTTCCGTTCTGTTTTTCAGCTTTTCAGGCTGATTTTGTGGCTGAATATAATTTGTAGCTTCTTAGAATATGAATGAGTATAGTGATAGTGAGATACTGGCTACAGCTGCATTTGTAGTAGTGGTGAAACGGCGAAAACCTAAAGAAAACGAGCATCAGATGGACTGTATTCATAATAAATACACCACAATAATATAAGTAAGCAGCGCCAATTAGTTAGTCTATGAGAATGTGTGTGTGTGTGAGGGGGCGTAAGCACATACAGCGAGCAGCAGCAGTGACTCACCACCCGACACTGGCACACCGTGAGGACAGAAACAGAGGGTTTGGCGGAGACGGAGCATCTGCCACAGTAGGCGAACACGCTGTCCGTGGTCATTTTGACTTGACCACAAGCTTCACTACATGCCGATTGGCCGTTGAAACCAGTGACCAGCCTTACGTTCTAAGACCAGCTGTCAGCAATTTGACCAGCTGAATTGCAGGTGACACCATCAGCCAGCTTGAGTTTGAGATATCTAACTTTTTTTTATTTCATTTTATTTTTTTTAGCAGATTTATCTTTTAAATCTCTTATCCTAACTATTAAAACCAGGTTTCTCCTTTAATTTTCCTCCTTTAATTGTTATTATTCAAATACTTTTATTGATTTTTCCTGCAGTGTAACTGTTATTCTTGTATTGTATACCCATCTTGGTGTAATTTAACTATTTATTTATCTTTATTCTCTAGTTCTTTAAATGAATTGCTTGTAAATGACCTTTTATAATGTGTTTCTTTTGCACCTTGTGTAGATGCTTTTGATGTTTTATGTAGAGCACTGCTGAAATGTGCTGTATAAATAAACTTGCCTTAAAGTTTAAGAACTCAGGTTGCTACATTAAAGCCAATTCCCCTCAGGGGAATTAATAATGTATATAAACATTAAAAAAATAAAATAAAAAATTAATTAAACATGAAGCACCGACGAGTCATTATAATTCTTTTACTAAAGTCTTGTCATACTGAAGGGAAAATCCTGCTCCTCTGTCGTTGCCAATTTCCATTTTTCTGCATTCAGTGAAAACAGAGCCGAGTGTCACACACAAGAACAAGAGGTCAAGTGAGCGCTCTCTAAATCAAACTGTTTGGCTAAGAGCCATTTCCTCTGCCGCACACACTGGCCTTCTAAACAGCCAGATACATGCAGAAGGACAATGACAAAACAGTCAGATACTTGTATGCAGTTCACAAATGTGTTAAAACACATTATCAGGACTTTTTATCTGCTTAATCCCAACTCTGTGTTTAAATCTCTGTGTGTCATGCTGGATTATAGAGAGTACATTTTATCTCTCACCTTCTTGGTCCCATACATGACCTCAAGGAACCGCTGCTCTGCGTCCTGGAACCTCTCGTCCAAAATGGACACCATCTTCCTCACCACTTTCATTATCATGTAGTTGTTAAGGAGGCTGAAAAAAGGAAATATCACATTCATTGTTTTGCTGCTCTCTTCAGTAGCTGCCTGAATGTTCACCACTGTGCCTGTCAGCAGGAGGATTTATGCATGTATCTACTGTGTAAACATGAACAGACATAGTAATGTTCAACCTGTAATCAATGTTTAAATGGGAAAACTATTAAGGCCTGCAAAGTGTCTGACCTTTTATTTGTTTTAGTTATGAGGTCAGAAACTTGCTGGAGGTATTCTTTGGCATAAACAACCACCGGCTCTGACTCGTTGAGCTGCACAGGAGCAAACACTTCTGTGAGGTATGGCATCCAGTCCACTGCAGGAACCAGAGTCTGCGGACACACAGATAAAACACACATAACCAAACACTGACAAATGCTGTTGGGAAACATTTGATACACAAATATGTAGAATTCCATTTATATTTTAACACTAATATAGCTTTTCACTTTCTTTGGTAAAATCTACTGCTAGCTAACCTAGCACCACTGAGCTAGCTAATGTTACAGCTCCACAAAGCATTTCCCCCCAGTTGAAAACACCAGGCACTCCTCAGGAAAAGCAAAGCTGTCAGCGCTTTGAAAGTGCAGCATGTTTTCAGCTGCAACGCTTTAGTTGCGTCTAATTGCTATGACATGGAATATGCACAGAAATAAAAATGTTGGTGCAAGGTAAAATTCTTGCTCCGGATGAAGGGAAGGCTGAAGGGTATAGGGAGGACAGACCATCTGGTCTGTGTGGATTCATGAGAGGAAACATATATAAATATATATACACTGTATTAACATATTTCTCTTCTGTTATTGTTGTTCAGCACTTGTACATGGAAGATGTGACGGCTGGTCTTTGTGGTATTTGTCCCTCCTCCACTGTGACTGAACAGCTGGGTAAAAAGTGACAGTAAAGAGCACAGCGTCTTTCCCATAGATTAACATTTATCACTTGGTGCTCAAAAAAATGCTGCACTCCCATTGAAAAGAATTGAAAAGAGCCACGCTTCCTTCTGTGCAGTGATACAGTTGGCGGGTGTAATTCAGTAGAAAGAAAATAGTTCCCACTTAAAACTGCTCACAACAAATTCTGTGGATTATCTTGAGTAGCTGGGTTGTGATTTCTGCAAAGAGACACTGCTGTTGAGTTTTGGAAATGTATTTTTTTGGTGTTTTGAGCACCACAAGCTGAGTGCCATCTAGTTCCATTGTACTGGAGAGAAGGCAGACATCTCAATGGCCGATATCTCCAACACTCTGCAACTCACACCAAAACAATCTAGATTAATAAATAGCACTACAGGTAAGAGGAAAAATATGTATTTTTGATTTTGAGGTGAACTGTCCCTTTAAGTGCTGTTTACTGTTGCTGTACTTACTGTCAGATCTTTGGCCTTCATCTTATGGTAGATGAGCTCCTCATCTCTCCTCTCTTCCTGAGGGACTGTGATGTTAGCAAGGGTGGTTTCAAAGTCCACGATCTCCTGCATCAGCGCCCGAGACGTTTCCTCGGAGCCGCCCAGGAGAACCCCTAACTCCGTCAGGAAGTTTAGGTATGCCGTCAAATACTGCAAAGTCCAAAACAGGCAGCAGAGTGAGGTGGAGGTGGGGGTGGAGGGGGGTCGGGGAGACAAAGGGTGTGTGTATTTGAGAAGAATTCAATTAGGAAAGTAATCCTGAGCTATGCAAACACAAGCTACTCTGCAGAGTTTCTACCCTGAAGGTGAAATATTTTCTTTAATATTTGCTGACTTTCTTTGCAAACATCCGCAATGAGCCTGTGGGTATTTTCAGAGTTAAATTACAGGTGATTTCTTTTGTTATTTCTCATTACAGAAAATTACAGATCTTGATTTAATGGCCTGACTTAAGCTTCAATTTATTTTAAAGGTTGGCTCCATCATTATCATTATTATTATCATTGATGTTTTTATATCATTCTGTCGCTTTACATTAGTGTAACTTATGTATTCAGATCCTAAAATTCAGATTTTGATCAAAATATGTGTATTTCAGCCTCAAAATGTAATTTTCTCAGGCCCCTCTAAACACTTTTTCCCACATGATGTGATGTAGATTTCTGACAATGTTGTTGTTATCCCACATCCTGCTCTGGACGCCACATTAGTTCGATTTCGAAAGTCAGACATAAACAACCAAACTAAACTACTCAGTTGGCGGTAGACCCGCAACTCCCTCTGAGCCATGAGGTAAAATTACTGTTTCTGTCAATGGACTCTGGTGGCTTTGATGAGAGCACAGATAACAGCTTCAGTTCCCTGACAGAAAGGGCTGTCTGACTGCAAGGGAAACTGGTAAAATAATCTTAATAATGGGTACATTTAAACTGACACTGACTTGTTTTCAGGTGGTCCTTTTTAAGGGGGCTAGAATACGTTTCGCTGCTGCACCCACCCACAGACCCGTTTTCACCAAACACTTTCTGTATGGTATCTTTAGAACCAAAAGTAACCCTTCAGACCTGATACCTAGACCCTAGGTCCATTTAGTGTTTCCACTGCAAACAACACTCCTAAATGTGGGCGGGGTTGTTGTCACTCACTGCTCCGTCCAGCACTCACTGTATTTCCTCATTACCGGTGACACAGATGGAAGTCTGCACCTTGTTTATCGTCCACAGAACGAAACTGCACGCCAGCATTTTCAGACCAAAACAGAACAGGCTGCAGTGAGAGTCTCTCTCCATGGGATATTTAAAAACAGTGGGTTGTACTTTTAGTCCTTCTCAGGCAAGCTCAGGGGTTTAGTGTTGCTGGAGCCCACAGGAACAACGCTCCACGACGCTTTTGAGTTCACATAATCCGACCGGAATTAATATATATTTTTAAACGCTTGAAGATCCCCTCATTACTAAAAGTGTGTGTAATTTAAAAGCTAAAGTGATGGTCAAAGTTGTTGTAGTTACATTTAAGGTGTGTTGATGGATTCACATCATCAGCTCATGCATTGAGTAACATTACAAGTTAATGTTCCACCTTAAAAGTCGCCGGCATTCGGCCCAGTGAGTAACCTTTGTTCTCAGTCTCCAGCTGCTGTGAGAGGCACAAAAACATCCTTTGATTTTTATAGTTACAGTCTACTAATTAATGTAGAACATATTTTAGTCTACTGTTTAGCTGTAAAATGGGAAAGTTTGCTTCAGCCGGTGCTTGGTTTTTGATCCAATGTTTCCAACCTGGTGGTCAGTTCACAAACTTTTTTATTTTCAGTTTCTGGAAACATCTGAGGCAGAGGCAGCAAATCATCCTTTCATTTTATAGTTACAGTTTACTAATAAAACTGTCTACAGTATGAACAGTGGTTACATGAGCCTCAAAACCAGCCACAACTCAACCCTGAGCAGAGTGACTGTCCTCTACTGACCAATCAACAGACTGCAGTGTTCACAGCTCCACCTTTTAGTACCAGATCTGTGTGCTAGGTACCCCAACAGAGGGGGGACCAAAAATGGGGATTTTATGGAACTGTTCCATTGGTACCATCCACAACTTTTCACAGTGGAAACATTAAAAAGCGTATGGAACTGAACTATACTATACAGCTTGGTGGAAAAAGGGCTTTACTATTGCAACCCTACTCCTGTCTGCTTCTCCACACTGGGAGTGTGTCAACTGGCATCTACTGTAGGTAATACACTGACTGTGGATTAATTCATGTGTTTATACAGTACAAATGCAGTATTATATTAAATATTCACCTTGTTTAATAAAACTCTCTCATTTTCCATGCCCACACTGTCAGTGAACAGTGTGTGTGGGGGAGGGGGTGGGGGTATAACCGCTGTAACCTACATCACTGCTTTTTGATAACAGCTGTGTGGGAGTTTCCGTTTTAAAAACAGGGAAATGATCTCAGATTGACCTGACCTTTAACTTTCACAGTTTAACTTTGTACACGCTCAACCACTGTAAAACCAAGAATTCGCCCATGGTACCTTTTCATTTGCTGTTTTGTTGAGGTAGTAATCCCGTGACGGTAGCCCCAGGCTGGACTGATCCACCTAGAGTCAAGAGAAACATCCTATGATTTCCAGTTCAGCCTCCATTTCAACAATCACAAACAACCTTTTGTTTTCATTCCTGCGTTGCCAGCATGTGGGCTAAAAGTAGAAGCCCGCCAAAGATCATATCTGTCCTATTTGTAATGGTCTCATGATACCCTGCAATGGAATGAACTCTTGTGTCAAGCTGTCAGTGTGAAACCAAGAACACTGTGATAATGAGTCGATTGTCCCCAGAATATAAGCAGAGATAAAATCTGAAGGAGGCCTTTAAGAGCTGCTGGAGAACATTTGATTTAACAATTTAAAGTTGATTTAAGATAAATAGATGCCTGATTCTCTCACCTGGATGATGTTACTGCTGGAGTTTTTGGAATCGGTGCTGACAAACACTGTGAAGAAAGGCGAGGTGCGATAGTTGGCCGACACCATACGCAAAACTTCCTGGAAGTTGTCCTTGTTCCAGGGTTCAGTCAGGGCCCATCCTCCTATCTGAAACAGGCAGCATTTAGGCAGACAGTCAGAGACCGCTGGACATGAGGAAATGAAGACGGACTGAAATGATGAATGCGTTTGATGTTTGACCGCTTTAGGAAATAATCATACCTGTCTGATAAGCTCTTGTAGGGGCTTAGCTCCTAATTCTTCAATCTTGGCCTCATTCATACAGGCATGATAATATCGCTGGGCTTTTTCCTCGGCCTTACTCAGACCTTTCATCGTTGTGTTTTCTGCCAAATAAAGATATAAGATTAATTACGTGAATGAAAAGCAAACTGTTTTACCCAGCTCAGGAAATTGAGCCGGAGAAAAACAATTTACACCTTTGCCTGGGGTGAAGGCAGCTGAGGACACTGCATCGCAGTCACACAAGGACACTTACCTAATAAATGCTTCATTACAAGCATGTTGTGCTCCCAGAGGTTGCTGAAAGGTCCCCAGCGGGACTTGCCTTCAGGGAGGGGGTTGTTCTTCATCCAGCCTCCACAGGAAAAATTGTAGAAGTCATGGCAGGGGTCGACAGATCGGTCCAGGGCTCCCATGACCGCACTGGCCACAGTAATGCACGGCTCTGTTAGACACAGGCCCGGGTGAGCTGCAGAAGAAAAGAGTGTTTGAAAAGAACATGATTAGTTCATAATTCACAATCCATATGGTCTAGTGGTTAGGATTCCTGGGTTTAATCCTGATATGGAATTCACTCTTCAGGTCATAACACTGTTGAACTCTTGAGCTTATCACTTGACGCTTTACTATTTTATTTCACTCTACCTATATTACATGTTTCCGTCCTATTTTACAACTGTATACACCTCTGTATATGCTGTATATACACTCACTGGCCACTTTATTAAGTACATCAGTTAAACTGCTCGTTAACACAAATAGCTAATCAGCCAATCACGTGGCAGCAACTCAGTGCATTTAGGCATGTAGACATGGTAAAGAAGACCTGCTGAAGTTCAAACTGGGCGTCAGAATGGGGAAGAAAGGTGATTTAAATGTCTTTGAACGTGGCATGGTTGTTGGTGCCAGATGCACAACCATCTCTAGGGTTTACAGAGGATGGTCTGACAAAGAGAAACTATCCAGTGAGCAGCAGTTCTCTGGGTGAAAATGCCTTGTTGAAGCCAGAGGTCAGAGGAGAATGGTCAGACTGGTTCAAGATGATAGAAAGGCAACAGTAACTCAAATAACCACTGGTTACAACCAAGGTCTGCAGAAGACCATCTCTGAACCAACAACACGTCCAACCTTGAAGCAGATGGGCTACAGCAGCAGAAGACCACACCAGGTGCCACTCCTGTCAGCTAACAACAGGAAACTGAGGCTACAGTTCACACAGGCTCACCAAAACTGGACAAAAGAAGATTGGAAAAAAGTTACCTGGTCTGATGAGTCTGGATTTCTGCTGCGACATTCAGATGGTAGGGTCAGAATATGGTGTAAACAACATGAAAGCATGGATCCATCCTGCCTTGTATCAACAGTTCAGGCTGCTGGTGGTGGTGTAATGGTGTGGGGAATATTTTCTTGGCACACTTTGGGCCCCTTAGTACCAACTGAGCATGGTTTAAACACCACAGCCTACCTGTGTATTGTTGCTGACCGTGTCCATCCCTTTATGACCACAGTGTACCCATCTTCTGATGGATACTTCCAGCAGGATAAACAGCCAACAGATCTGCAGCAACTGTGTGATGCTATCATGTCAATATGGACCAAAATCTCTGAGGAATGTTTCCAGCACCTTGTTGAATCTATGCCACGAAGAATTAAGGCAGTTCTGAAGGCAAAAGGGGTCCAACCTGGTACTAGCATGGTGCACATAATAAAGTGGTTGTTGAGTGCATATGTACACATTAGGATGCCAGGCTGATGGGAACCCCTGCCAGGCCAAATCATCTTTGCTTTCATTGCCAAAAATAACTCAAAATATTTGTTTATTTGGAAAGCAATGGTAGGGGAGAGTCCTCTTTACTGTGTTGCTGTCATTTAAGGTCACACTCATTTCTAATTTCTCTTCGCAAAAAACGCTCCTCTGTGGGCAGAAGGTCAGAGCAACTCCAGGAACTCCATATCTCCTTACTTCACATCCTACAGAGCCTCCGCTGCCTTTTTTTCCTCTCTCTGTCCTCGTCCACTCTTCAATGCATATACTCTGGCTCACATAAATACAGTTTCTGTGTTTACAATAATTAATTGTAAACCTAGGAGGAAAGCTGAATACACATTTACTACATCCCTGATCACATTCATTCACAGCTTCCTTTTCTTTTTTTCATACATATTTAATCAGCATTGTTGGAGGGAGCCTGGGACTTACGATTTTCATTTCACCAACGACTGCTTCTTTAACTGCTGTGCATATGATAAACACAGAACTTGAACCCGGGATAGTTCACGTATAAGCCCTATGCTTTTGAGGACCACGGTGGGAAATCTGAAAGTATTTCCCGGTAGGACATTCAAATATATGTATGCACTTTAGTTTTCAGACCATCTGGAAACTGTTATTTTAGAGAAGAAGCTGCAACAGCCAAGATGAACAACCTGGGTGGAATTTCTCCTCTTGTAAAAATCCTTTGTAAATAATTAGAGCAACAGTGAGGCTTGATGATCTTGTCTTTGTAGGAGGAAATGTCACACATCGACTGTTGCCAACTGATTATGCAATTGTCTGACTAATTAGTAGACTGGATAGATAGCGAGATGAACATTCAGAGTTCTGCCTGAGTTAATCTAACTGTTTAAAAAGTAAGGTTTGCCTTGCTTTTAAATGACATTTAACTGTCTTGTAAACCATACATGCCATTGTTCTTTTGTGTGTTGTGCAGAATACTGTTTAGTGAAAGTGATAAAGGGGCAGCGAGAGGCTTTTAGCTGCTCTGTCTTACTCTTAAAAGTCTAAACACACAAGATGTTTTACAGGAAGAGCTTTAGAAAACTAAAGAAAGTGTTTAGAGAAGTGCAAGTGCGAGAACAATTCCAGGGTAGGACTCACCTCTAACACTCGACTTACTGTAAAGACTTCCACCGTCTGTCCATATAAGGTATGAAACAGAGACGGAGACAAAGTTATGAGCGGCGATGAGGTTAGTACCCCGAGGAGAATTCATCCCTGTTCCTTTTATTATTTCAAAGTGTGATCTGACATGCGGTTCTGAATGGGAGGAAGTGGCATTAGGGTTTCCCATGGTAAATTTGAGGAAACCGGCACAGATGAGACGCCGCCTGGATGTAATGGCAAATCCACAAGCCCTTTTTCCATAATGAACAAGCTCAAGGGAGAGATTTAGAGTTGTTTTTAGGCAGCTTAGCTGAAGGTGAGGCTTCGGTTTAAAATAATAAACCACATAAACTGTATTAAAAAAGCACAGCTCTGTAGTTTTTAGGCTGGAGAGACAGAGGAGAGAAATCCAGGGCACCTCTGGAATGAATGTGGGTTGACTTTTGTTTGTCTTATACCTCTTTTGCATTCAGTAGCTTTACAGATACAACCTCATTTTTATCATTACAAACAAAGGGTAGTGACCGTTTAAGGAATAGTTTGATGTTTTGAAAAAGTTTTTGTTTTCTTCCTGAGAGTTAGATGATACCAAAACTGATACCACTCTTACGTCTGTACGAGAGGTGTCATGAGATACTGGTATTAACGATTATTTAAAAGTGAAATATTTATAGCATGGTAACAATACACATATGGTAATATTGTGTAAGTGCTCCAGCACCTCTTAAAGGTATACTATGCAGGATTGTCAGTTATTGTTTGTAAGCACGCTTGCCAACCCCAGATTCACTCCTGTTTGGCGTTTCCCCTTTGTGGGGAAAAAACAAAAAAACCTACTTTGTGTTTTTTTTTGGCGCTGTGTCTCTTGGATGCCTGTTCCTTATGGTCTGGTATCTGGTCACTATTTCATAAAGCCCTGACCTCACCTGAGCGCTGTGGGGGTAAACGCCCGTCAATGTCCTGAACAAAGAAAAGAAGAGGGGAGAATCTGGGGTTGGCTTTCAAGGTCCTGACCCACCGAGCCAACGGTCGACTGTTGGTCAATGTTGGGCCATCGATGAGCATCCATGGTCCTCATGGTGCTGATTGTCTTTTTTTCCACCATTCACCATTTCAGCATGTTGAATCTGCGACAGTGAAGCTCATCGGTGAATGAAATCACTCTGATTGGTAGTTCAGCTCAGCGCATGGGAAGAGAAATGGAAGTGAGGAACGTAAACAAACAGCTAAAGTCAAGAGGGAGTGAGACCAAAACAAACTCACAGCAAGAGGGTTCCGGTTCAAAACCTGACTGTGGGGAGTTTGCGTGTTCTCCCTGTGTCAATGTGGGTTTTCTCCAGGTACTCCGGCTTCCTCCCACAGTCCAAAGACATGCAGGTTAAGTGGTGACTCTAAATTGTCCGTAGGAGTGAATGTGAGTGTGAATGGTTGTCTGTCTCTATGTGTCAGCCCTGTGATAGTCTGGTGACATGTCCAGGGTGTACCCTGCCTCTCACCCAGTGTCAGCTGGGATAGGCTCCAGCCGCCCCGCGACCCCCAAGAGGATAAGAAGTTACGGAAAATAAAAAAAAAAAAAATTCCATTGAGATCTTTAGCAGAAATGTTTCGTGATGGTTTGTGTTACTGTTCACTGTCGCACAATAAGTATACTCTGTTCTTTCAACACTGGATTGTGCTGTTAATATGCTAACTGGCCAACTAGCATCAGGACAGTCTTCAAGTTTCCCTTTTTGAATGACATATACAGACGACCGTTGTTTGGTGGTGTGGGGAGTTATTCCTCCACATGTGCTGGTTAGTCATCGGTTGAAGTCTTTGCGATGTGTTCAGGCTCCCCCACGCAGCAGGGGGCTTTTTTCACCGCTAGTTCTCTGAAGTCACGCTGGCGTAACTGGGCCTTTACTTTCACTTTAGCTGGCAACTGTGTTTCCAAACAGTAAGTGACAACCCTGCATAGTATAACTAGCATTTCCCCTTTTGTATGTGCATATTTATTTCATTCTTCTTTTTGGAAAAGGTTGCTCTGTTGTCGCTTTTTAATTTTATGATATATTTAAAACCTTCAGAATAAAACTGAGTTTACATCGGAGGTCCCCAGGCCGGGCTATTTCAGGGAGACCACAGGTGTTTCTTGTCAGCGTATGTCACCACAGCGTTGAGTTTAAAAAGCACTTCAGACTCACTCTGTTTGTAGAAGACCCCAGTCGTGATGAGAGATATGAACAGGCCCACAGACACAACACACAACAAAAACAGCAGCCTCTTCTCTCTCTGCGTCCTGTCTGGCCAACATGTGGGACCACGGCCGTGCAGTAGAGTCACCTGTGCACAAACACACACAAACACATTAACCCTAAAGAGTTTAATTTAATCCCTTCAGTCATATACAACCATTCTGAGGAGGTTAGCGTGGTTAAAGACATGTTATGACTTTTAAATCAGCTTTAAACCACACAAACACCCACTCTGACTGGTGTTACTTTGTTGAACTAATGCAGTGTGGAAAATATTGTGTACAGTCAAACAGTGTCTCTGGGATTTGATGACAGGTTTGGTTTTCAAAGCACAATGGCTTTTCTATCGCAGGGCTTTCAACCCTCCTACACAGAAAAGGTTAAGCATTCTTCTATTGTTCCCTCGCTTCTAGTCTAACATGCACTCATAAAAGATATTTTCCTCCTGCCCTACATTGGGATAAGACATAATAATCCTGTTGAACCACATCTGCTTTGTTGTGATTCACCTGTGAACAATACAAGAGTCAAGTAGGGACAACTGTGACCTGTTTACTGATATTCAGCTGCAAAGCTTCTCAGAAAATCAACACAAAGGAATTTATAAGTCAGAGGAGTCCTTACTTTGTGGTCGGTGACTGAGCATTTTAAATCAACGATTGGTGCAGTGGATCATAAACCAGCACGTCCTGCTCCTGCTCTTTTTCTCCTGAATGTTGCTTTAGTAAAGGCTGCCAAGGGAGTTTATTTCCTACAGGAATGATTCCAAGGGCCACTCGCAAATCTCTCACAGGTCACATTTAGCACTCTTCCCGGTCTTTGAGTATCACCGGTGTAAATAAATGCCAGATCTTGGACCTCACATACATCCTGTAGAAGTCAATTACCGCTCAAGTGTATATATAAAGATCCGATTTACTGCTATTAGCTCAGATGTGAGTTCAACAGTCAAACTTAATGTGAGTAAATCAAATGCCAAAGCCACAGTGGCTTCTTAATCCCTGGAGCTCAGCATGTTGGGTTGTTTTGGACTTTAACTGTGTTTCTAAATGCAAGTGAGAAAATCCCACTGCCAAGCCTCACCACTTTCCATGTGTAGTTTAGTGGAAACCACATTTATTGCCCTGAAATCCATGGCAAAATTATGCTGGCACAATTATGTCGTGAAAATTTAAGACTTTTGTTTTTTTAAACTCTTCAGATCAAATTAAGTGTGGGGAATGACTGCACCGTAGGATCTCAGCTGCTTGTTCTGAGGTTCAGAAGAAGTAGAAACTGTCTATAAAATAGTGCTTGAACCATTAAAAATTGTCCAAAACAAACCATTTTGCAATTCTACTTTTAAAAACCATAAATAAAGTTATGAAGTTTATAAAGTATGGCAACAGAAAAAGATGTGAAACAATTTGGCAATGACAAGTAATATGCTAAGTGACTTCAACATGCACAGGATCATGCAAAAAATTGGCTGTACCTATGAACTGTGAACAAAAACACCTACTACGTGAGGTCTGTGTTTGTAGATGTGTCCAGCACACGGACTAAGGAGAAAATGCTCTTAATCTGTTTTGGAAAACATCTACAATCTCAGGTTTAACAGCCAATATTTCTGACTATATTCACATAAACACTAAGATTACAAAGGATTTAATTAATTAAATTGTACGATGAATGTTGAACGGCCCCAATGAGAGTGCAAAATTAGTTGATGTCCATCTCCAAGTCTTTTTTTCCGTTTACATTTTTCTGAAAAGGTCAGATTTTTCCATGACAGCAGTGTTATTTTCCACAAGGCATGATACAGGACCTTGACATGTTTCCTGTGTAGGGGAGACAGGGATTGGTTGGCCAAGTTTTCACTCTCTTACACCCAGAACACACTGCCTGTGTGAACAGCACGTGACAGCAACCTCGCTGAACTGCTGCGAACTGTTTGCAGGGTTCACACTGCTGCTTAAACTACTGTATTTCCACTATTAAAAACCAACACTCTAGCCACTACATTGTCAACAACACTGTCCTGCAAATATTTCACAATAAAAAGCCTTGTGTTGACAAATTAAGGGATTCTGTCCAAAGAAACGCTGCCAAAGGGCGTTTATTTTTAAACGGAGGCAGGAAGTGTTAAAAGTGACTTTAAAAAATATTAAAACTGTCATGAAAGGTGGTATAATGTTATTATGATCATTAAAACCACTTTCACAGTCTATTTTTGTGGAAAAACGCGTGCGTCACACGGAAAAAATCAGCGAGCCTTCTATTCTCTAGATGTTCTGCAGCTAAGCACCTGAGCAACGCAGCTTACACGGGCAGTGTGGCTGCTCTAACCTGTTAACACGGGCGCAGTAAAACACAAAGAGGTTCGCAACTCACAAGTGCTGCTCCCCAAGGCAGTGCGTTCCGGGCGTTACATATTTCACTGGCATGAATTATGTTAGAATATTCCAACCAGCAGCCAATCAAAGGTTAATGTCTAAGCTATAAATAAATGTTTTAATGTGCACAAACGTTTTCTAAAATTAGGTGATTTGTGACTGAAGTCACGCTGTGGTTTGTGCCAAACAGCTCCATCACAGAGTGGCTGGCACATTGTTAAAATTCTGCAGTTTCAAAAAAACAAACAAAAAAATTTGAATATTTAATTTAAAAAAAAAAAAACAGTAAACATGAACATTTTATATCAAAACAAAAAAAATTTAAGCAATTCATCAGTAGAAATGTCTAAATAACTTTGCCACTGACCAAAATAATAATAATTAAATAACAATACAAATATTGTTTTAAATCTTCTTAAATAGTTTTAATCCCTAAAAATAGAGTTGTAGTTGCAACCCGCTCACATTTGACCTACTTTGTGATGAAATTATGTTATTATGCCAGCTACCGTCACTCAAAGACTTTCAAATCTCATATCAGAATGTAGCTGTTTCATTTGTCTCTTAACAAGAAGTACCACATTTCCAATATGTCTGTCTGACAGTTTTGTAATAGGTTTGGTTAGTTAGTTAGTTAGTTAGTGATTTTCAGATGATTTAACATGACAGGTGAGTGCAGGTGAAGAAAACAAACATTTTGATGTTACATATTTGTTTCTGTGACCTTCAAAAGACCAGAAAATACCCGTGTCCTAACCAACCCCAGTACCCAACCAACTGCGGTCTCCCCTACTGTATGATAATCCCGCACTGACAGAAGGTGTATGCGTATTTACCTGCATGGGCGATGATGGGTAGATGTCGTCACCGGTGGAGTCCACCAGGTCCTCCTCATCCAGCGTGGCTCTCTTATACGTTGACATCTGAAAAGTCAAATGCAGAAAAGACTCCCTCAGTGCTTCCATGTTCCCTGCAGCCCCTCTCCTCTCCCACTGATGTGTGTGTGTCTGTGTGACGTCTATTCCTCAGCAGTGTCTGAGGCTTCAGGTTAGGGTTTCCCTCTAAAATCCATCAGGAGGTATGTGGTCTGTCTGGTTGGAGCGAGTATGTCAGTCCTCTCCTTCTAAAAGCACTTCTCTGCTCTCTTCAACCCCAACAACACCTCTTGCAGCCCCCATGGCGCCCGGCAGATACCCCCCGGTGTCAAACGTCACAACACGTCCTCACGAAAGTCCTTGTAAGATCTCCCTGTCCTCTCCTCCTCTGTCACCGTTTTGTGGCTCTTCCTGGGCAAACTTTTTTCTACACTTCCTGCTCAGCCCAGTCTGTGCAAACACGGCACGAGAGAAGACAGAACTAAGGAAAAACAGGAAGGAGCACTGACTTGAGCGACTTACATGACTGAGAATGTGTGGAAGTGCTTGTGTGTGTATGTGTGTGTGTGTGTGTGTGTGTGTGTGTGTGCGTGTGTGTGAGAGTGCATTCCCCAATGTGGTTTCACTTAGATTTGGGGAGGGAACCTCGCAGTTGTAGTTCACACCCAGTGTCTTCTCTATAGGACATGATACAGTCAGGGGAGGAGCCCGGAGAAAACACCCTCCTCCCACTACATGCTTGGAGTCGCTGCCCATGGCAACCGTTACCTGATAGGCAGTTCGTCTCCAGTTTAACCCCTCACCCACAGAGCCTCCACTACATGACATAAACACTGCATTTTAAATAGTTTACTTATTTACTACAAATGGAGTCAGTACACCAAACAGGTATTTAAAAAAAAGCAAACAAGATGTTTCAACTAGGCTGCAAACATACTGTTCATACAAACAGTTAGCAAACTCTACTAAATATGGCGTCCACACAGGACTAAATCCATCTGTGATGAAAAATTCTAACAAATAATACATAAAATTACTGTAAAAAATTCTGATCTTGAAGCATAACATCACAAATGCAGACAGAGATGAATGTTTTACTCCTAATACCCAATCTATCAGTAGATTAGAGCAGTGGGCGACGAAGGGTATAACAGCACTAAGCACAATATCTGACAAGGGTCAAATCCCTTCAAAAACTGAAGAGAGAATTTGACCTGGAGAATCAAGATCTGTTTCGGTACCTGCAGGTCAGGGATTTCTCTGTGAAAGAAATAAAGCTAGGTTTTCCTCATGAGCCAAACAGAGCGATAGAGACACTGTGCAGTGCAACATACAGCAAACTACGACCGGCTTCAGGATGTGGACAGAATTTTGTTGGGCGAACATAATCAGATTTTTGTATATTGTATATTTGTTCTGTGATAACAAATTGGAAAAAAAAGCAATAAAAGTTTAAATTAAAAAAAAAATATATCCAATATATCATGCATGTTGTAAAATATTTTTCAAATCAAACCTATATTCTACATATTTACTGTATATAATACATCATAAATCTTGAATGTAAATATTTAAACCAAGTATTACATCATATCTGTTCACTATACTTTGTCCTGGTTATTCTTAAAAAGCCAAAATGGAATCCATTTGAAGCTAATGTGCAATTTGAACAGGCATTTAAGAAGTGGAACAAAATCAGTTTTAAGCACGGGACTTAACAGGAATACTAAAAGCTTGGAACTTGCTATTTAAATACACTTCTTTTAATACAGAACTAAAATGAGACAAGAAGTTTTGCTGGAAAAAGATCTTTTCATAAAACTAAGTTGTCTATGTGGTAGAAAGATGCAAATACTTTTAAATTTGGTGCTATACGACCGGAGAAAACAGAGGAAAACAACTGTGCCATTTGCTTTTGCTCAAAGGGTCATATTTGGACAACAGGGTGGAGCTGTGGATGAACAAGGTCTAAGCCCACAGTGTGTATTCAACCTCTGTTTATTATTTGTTTAGACTACACACCCTAATTCACCCTCCTTACATTTGTCATAAATGTTGAATTTAGCCACAGAGACCACACAGTTTTTGTACCAGGCTGTAAACATGTTTATTTCTGCTGTAAAGTTGGGCATTTTAACATGGGTGTTGAAGGGGTCTGACTGGTTTCTGGAGCCAGTCTCAGTTTTTAACACTTCCGTGTTGGCTTCATTTTTCAGCCCCTGAGGTTGCTGCTTGGATGTAATGTAAGCTTGTCTGTTTTTCCCACAGGAAACAATATGGTGGCCGGCTGGTAACAATCGATCATGAATTACAGTTAAATGGTAGGCTAAAAATGCCTCTGAAAATCTGAAATCTGAAATCGGCAACGCAGTAACAGAATTATGGCTTATATTTGATCAGCATTGCGTGTTCTGCATTTGAGGGAGAAAGGGGTGGATCTGTCTCTTGATCTGTTTCTATACTCTTTGTGTCCGAGGTGGCAGGTATATGAAAATGCGGAAGTACAAACTGTAGTTCGAGCAACAGTCCTAGAGCCTGTGAAATTATGCTGGATGACACAATATACGTCAGATTTGGATTGGATGATGAGGAAGTAGGAATGTGGGGCCGTATTCACAAACATTCTAGGAACTCTCAGAGAGCTTCTAACTTTGCCTAAAAATTTTAATGAGTCCTAGCTTAGTCAGATTTAGGAAAGTTCTCAGAGCAACTTTTACTTTAGTGAGGAGGTATGGCTGACTTCGTTGCTAGGTATGATGCATTCTTTTAACAGATGTGATTGGCTGTCAGAGACAAGCCCTTTTGTGAGCCAGGAAGGTGTGGACACCCAGTGGACATGAAATGAACTGCATCACAATATGTGTGATCACTGCTGATGGAAGGTTGAGACAGACCTAAGCCGCGTTGCATAGTTCCAGATTTCCAAATATCTTGGTGTTGTGATCATTTTTATTTCTGGCTTTTCAGCGTTGGGTTGGAAATGTTGTGCATATCCCTAATGACATCAACTGCACATATTATCCCTGCAGGATCTAATCTGTAGCATTTCATTTCCTCACATTTTCCTCACATTTAATTTCCTCGTCATCCAGCGTTTGGAGAATATTTCTTCGACCTCTCTGTCTTTCTGCCATTTCTTCGCTGCTTAAGAAAGTCTTAACCCTCTTCAAAGTCCTCCTCCCTACTCCTAACAGTGTTTCACCTCATGAGCTCTTTTAAGGTCTAAGATGCTCTGTAAATAACTTTTATCTTTATAAGGAACTAGTCTTGACTAGGGGAAATTCTAGGAAAACATTACAATGCTAAGAATTTTCTTAGAACTGCATCACTGGGATAAACTCTCTGTACGAGGAGGCTTTATGAATACGGCCCCTAGGCGCTGATAAAATGGAAGAAAGTTTACCACAGTTTATTTACACATACTGCCAATATGATACAGAGCTGGTTGAAAATCAGCAAAGTATTTCTTTGATCTGAGAGGTTAATAATGTTACCTGGTGCTGTTAAAGGTTTGGTCACATCAGTAGTGTTTTTAAAGGTAAACCCGATCTGTATTTTGACTGTGATCAGCTCATGACAGCAAAAATCTTACAACAAGATCACATACCTGTCATTTATTTGGTCAAATGTTAATGTAACGCTTGTACACAGAGGTCCTGCAGCAGAAACAGGAGGAACTACAGAAGCTTATTTACATCTGATTTTCCTACACTACAGTACGCACACTGTAAAGAGGGCAATGATTAACCTCAGCTGTCTGACAGCCTGACAGAGACACAGCTCACTCCAGAGTGGTTGCTCAACACAACGTGACACACTGCAGACTCTATCAGCACAATCAGTCTCTGTCCTTCTGGACGTTCACCTTCATGCTCTGGCTTCCAGCTTTTCATGTTAACATCCACCCACTGAGCACAAGACAAACCAGCAGCTAAATATAAATGTTTACTTGATGAAGCCAGATAAGATATTCTTGTAAACACAACCAGAAGGCGCTCCAGTGGTGGATCCATGCTTTATTTTATTTCCCGCTTGATTCGCATAAACATGTCACAACAGAAAACTCATGTTCCCACCGCAAGCATTCCAGGGAATTGCAGCCAAACCAGATTCCTGTTAACTAGCGAACAATATGCCACAAATCAGCCCGAGTAGTCCCCAGAGGAGGGAGCTGAGGTCGGCCTTCCCTTCACTCTAAAACAAATAAAATCATACAAACTCTCCCTGTGTTGTTAGTGTGCTTTTAAAATCCTGTTAAACCCAGCACCCGCTCAGCCAAGTCACATTATCGGCTTATAAAAGGACTGTTGGGACAAAAGATGGAGGACGCAAAGTGATGAGAGATGCAGCGAGACAGACAGGGAGGGGGGAGGGGGAGATGTAAGAGGACACCCATTGTTTTTAGGACACTTTCAATTACATAAATGGCTTCAAATGACCTATAGCTGCAAGCAAAAGAGCCTAATGGGGGTATCGATGTTTTCCTCTCTGCAGACACACACACACTGCATTTGATTTCCATCAATATTTAACCTGCAACTCATGAGAGGATTACAGCTGTTCCACTGAACTGATTTTTACCTCGCAGAAGTACATCAAAAACATCCCTGATTGAATCATGTGGTCTGCTTCAGGGTCTACACGACGCAGAGCAACAAGTGTCGGTATCCACTGGCACACTCCAGTGTTGTTGTCGCACACACACATTCCTCGGCATACAATCATTGTTGTTGAACACTTTCCTGGCATTGGGGTCTGTGCAGATTGTTGCCACACAGATTGACCCCCCCCCCCCCGAATCAAATCTCTGCGTTAGGGATAAAAAACAGCCTTCCCTTTCCTGTTACTGATATTTGGTGACTAATATCAGCCATTCCTTTTGTGGAGTTTGTACCTGAGTCATGATTTCCTCCTCTTTATCCTGATCCACATCATCCTGAAACTAGGAATTACATATAAACACTTAAAAATCTGACATCATCGGCATGCTGTAACCTGCTGTAATGGAAGCTGTGTCAGATAACATCTGTAAAAACGACTGAGGAGACCCTGCTGATGTCCTCACGCTGTGGAAGTCACGCTAAGTGGCA